TAACTTCGTCGCTCAAATCTTCCCCAAAATAGTATGCGAGAGGTTTCTGCCTTGTGTGATTAGTTCGAAGTAGTTGTCGATGACTAAGCGGCGCATGCGTGATGTGACTACAGGAACAATTGCATTTGCAGCCTGGATAAAGCTGGTGACGACGGTTAACGGATCTGTAGCCAAAGAAATACAAACAAATATTTAATAGTGCTTTCTCAAAGGCAGGTGTAGGTTATGTAATTTGTCGGCCTCTTTATGCCCGTAATGGTCATAATTCGCAACATAAATGTTTATCAAACCTGCAGCACACAGGAAATATGCATCAGGCGTATATGGCAACCGAAATCTCGTTTATAGCGAGAGTCTCGTAGACTTATATTTTGTCTCTCAAATAGTGTATCATTGACTCGCGCCTGCTGCTCGACTAACCATTGTATTTAGGTCACTGAACGGGGTGACAGAAGACAATAGAACACTAAATCTCGCATTGGTCTCTCGCTCTCAGCGAGACCTTTGCGGCCATTTGCATTGAAGGTATATGTCCAACATTACATGTAACAACTTGGAGAACAATACAGACCACAATTTTGGTTGGAAATATTATGGCGTTCAAATTTTAATTAATAACAACAACTTGCAACCATATAAGTTCTTAATTTATGAAGGACAGCATAATAAGAACGATACACTTTACGTATTTGATTACGGATATTGACTATATTGAACATTGACCGAAGCACACGTTCGTTATTACAAATTACATGTTTGTTTCCAAAACACGTTCGTCTAATAATATTAGCTATGTTTAATTTCATTTTCTGCAATAGCTCGTAATGAATGTGGACAGTTGACTCATTACAAGTGCTAATACTGTTTATATCGACCTCTTATTTGTATCACTAATGCGGCTTAGACAGCTTCACTCACAGCATCCAGCTATACTGCTACCAAGATATAACTAACGGGTTGATACCTACAATTGTGTTTCAGCTTGCTTGCATTGCCAAGAAATAAAATACAACTTAAATTGTCAACACATGCCTTACCATATTTTATATGCATTAATTTTTCAATTTAAATATAATAGTAATATACAATAATATACTCGACATGACGACGACCACGTAATTTATATCCTCATAATTGCTGTCGACATAGGAAGTAAAGTAAGCAAATAACACCGAATACACCGATCTGAAGGCCTTTGCCGCATTCTGGCTACGCTGTGTGGCGCGGATCGCGTGGACGGGTTTCATGTTCTCTGCACGTAATAAGCTCGGTTATTAAGCATCCTTTTTTGGGGATGCCCGGTGGCCGAGGGGAAGACGTGTAGTGGCGTGAAGCTAGGCGGTTAGGTGCCGTACGCGAGCGCCGGTTCGAGTCACGCACGCAGTACGTATTTACTATAATTAGACATAGTCTTTACCTTGCCGTTTATTCGGTGTTATTTGCTCACGTAATTTATATAATTTGTTGCGGACTATTTTCTCTGTGATAGCCATATGCGTACAATCTAGATAGTAGGTACTCCACATATTCGAATAATAGTGCTATTTGCATAAATAAGTGCAGAAAATTATTCAATTTTGTATTCTTTTCAATGGGACAATTTTTACATAATCAACTCTGAATTAACATCACTGTACAACTGTAGACTTCAAATACTAGCATGCGTGAGAATATGTAATTGACGAGCGTGTGGCTGAATCTTTACACGCGTTCACTCACGTGGACGCCGCGCCATTTTAGATTTCCTGCACCTGATTTTTGAATTATTTCAAAATGGTTGAGATTTAGCAGTTCTGAAAACTGTATTTACTATTTAGATTAGCACTATGTACCAGCACTTTCAGATTACGTCATTTATTTCCGCTATCCATCAAAATCATCAAGAAATAGGTTATGTTCAATAATTCACGAACAATCATCTAAAAAGTCGCGAATATAAAACTGGTCAACCACTGACACTGACACTTCGTTGGGACATAGGTATCCCTAACACTACGCTGCGTGAGGAGTTCTTTGATGAATCTTTCATTTATGTTTATTATTACACATCCCAGAAAATGACAGTTAATAATGTTAAAATGATTGACATTTAATTTAGTGAGTTTCCAGTGTTATAATATCTTTCATTATATATTCAAATTAGAAGTTAGCTACCATAATGTATTGCATATAAACTCAACAACATTGACAGTTGCGAAATATTTAAATCTGTTACCCCCCTGTTAAGCTACATTGTCACAATTTACAAAAAAAAAAAGTCCTAACTAGGCAACAACTGCTTTCCGCTCCGAAAAATAATAGAGTCTGGCACATTTTGTAAATCTGTCTACAAGTACGTTTTTCTTTGTGTCTAGTTACATTCAATATTGCCATGAATATATATGTGAGTTATGACACAGATCGCTATGACCAAAATTAATGGGAGTATAAAGCACAAATGAACTCAAAACAGCCCAATAATGCTTCAAATAAACAGAGAGCATTTTAATAAAATAAACGAGTATACCTTGGAGCGAATCAAACATATATAATTTCTTTTGATAGCATATATTTGAATACATGTTTTAAAAAAATTGAAGTATATTATTGTAGATTTAACCTTCTACCCTGCATATATACAATGCCCAATAAGTTGCAAGAGCGTTGGACGGCATGAATGATAATAATATATGACGTCACATATTGAATGCGCATGCGCGTCATTTGCCTTTCCGCTTTAATATTATGTATATAGTTGTATCGCTGTGTCATGTTATTTAAAATCCGTATAACGTTTTACCTCTAGCTATAACAAGCCAACTTCAATTATGGCATTATTCCATGTGACATATACGATATACAATTAATATATATTTTTATAATAAATGAGTATTGAATCACATATTCTGAAGTATCTTGAGACTCGTAAATATATTTGCTCGACGATTGAGTGTCTTTACAAGATTGCGTTCACATGCGACGTAATCCAATCAACAAAAGAACCGTACTTCCATGGAAAGATCGGTGATTAAAATCTCTGAAGTAAGCATCAATGGATAAGGCAATATACAGAAGAACTGCGTCACAATCAACACTTCTAGAAGTACTGAATTAAAGACGTGGGTTTCAGTCAGACTCCAATTTCCTGTGACAATGTACAGCGCGTTGCTTTTTGTTAGAATGACAATTGTTTGATGAAACTTCGACAAAAACTAACTTACTTTGTCAGTAAGAAAAGGATTATGTAATACTCATTTTGAATGTGTTCATCTGAAACACCAATTGAATGGCGGTTGTCGGAATTTTCTATGATGATTACGCCCGAAGACAGTGGATTTGTAATTGAAAAAGCAAGACTACGTGGCTTCATACTATTTCAACGAAACTAAAAGCCCTAGAAATGTTTTCTTCAGACGCATGTTTAGGTTTAATAGGTCTTCGGTGGAATAAGAATATTAAACTAATATGTAAATGTGTCTCAGCATGCAACACGAAATCCTTGAAATCTCCGGATGTATGCATTGATACAATCGAGTCTCTCTTTTCCGGTTGATTGCTTGAATTCTAATTTCCTCACGACAGTGACTTCGCATTGCACGCGTTCGAACTTTTACATTTACAACTGTCTATTGTTTTCGTTAATTTACAGAAAAAAACTGACTAAGCGTGGACGTGTTTATAACTTCCGATTCTCTGATGTGCTCGAAAGCCGCTTAGACTCGGAACTCTGAAGTAACGTGCAATTATCAATTCTACACCGTATCATATTTGGTACAGTAGGACGACTAGATTTGGCAAGCTTTAGATAATGTCGCGCACACGAGTTTGCATGTTTGGTTCTCATAATATAACTCTTGGTGCAGAAAAGATACATTGGTCAGTTTATGAACACTTTTGGTGCCTGCCTCTAGATTATTACCGTTTTTTATTATTGTCAAAGCTAATAGTAGTTTTATCTATTAGTGTGAACAACATAAACAAATCTGAATGTTTTGTGAGACTGTATATCCTCAATTGATACGTTCCATAACTGGATACACCAACAATGATGGCGCTTTACACTGCAATTAATTTTAATTTGTATTTATGTTTGTTCTTTTCTTGTGACTGAGTAGAAATTCCTGAACTAGTTTTTGAATTATTAAAAACACTGTATGAATTTGAAAATGTAAGATTAGGTTTCAATGTCATGAAGGTGATGACAGTGTTATTGTGTTCATAAAAAATCGGGCACCCCTTCTTTCTTTGCTTATTGTCATTTATTTAATTGCACCTTTCAATCAGTAAAATATCAGGAATATGTCGTTCTTTTAAAATGTACACATTTTTAATTGCTAGGCGCGACCATTATTATAACCCTCACCTCATTTCGCCAGGAGAATCCTTCACATCATGCAGTTCGATACTCCCAAGTGTTGATGAAGCTTGACTGTCTGGCTTTTGCTCTCGCCGGTTGGCGGGGTGTTTGTTTTGCCGCTGTTTCCTGCGATTCCGTTTTGTCCCAGCTTGTGTTTGGGGGTCTTGAGATGGCGGCTGTTGCAATTCAACGTTTCGGGAACTTGTGCAACAGCGGTGGATTAATTTGCCAACTACAGCAAGTAGCGACACAAACACAAGTATTGGCATTAGGATGTTGATAGAGTCTGGTGTTTTTTCCTCACTAATGACAATATATGGGTATCCTGGCTTTCTGTGAGATGTACTTCCACCTACAAAAAAGGTAAAACCAAATGAAATATGTACATAGAATTAGATATTAACATATAAACGGGCAGAACACGTGATTCAAGCTCACGATCATGGCAAAGCGTCTCCCCACTAATATGAGGTTATAACGAGTTTATTATTATTTCCTCCCAGGGATACATCATGGGAATACCGAAAACCATGATGTTTAGAACAGATTTATCTAACTTATTTTGAGGAGTACGGTCAAACCCTAGGGCTGCCATGTTTGATATTATTGTTAGAGGACGCTCACGCGCGTAATCGCTCCGTATTTGGTATTCGCATTTCTTAGGATGAAAATACCCAGTGAAATACCGCACGTCATTCGCGAAGACCATACACGTCATTCGCGAAGACCAGCAACGTCATTCGCAAAGACCACACACGTCATTCGCGAAGACCACCCACGTCATTCGCGAAGACCACACACGTCATTCGCAAACACCACCCACATCATTCGTGAAGACCACACACGTCATTCGCGAAAACCACACACGTCATTTGCGAAGACCACACACGTCATTCGCGAAGACCATTCACGTCATTCGCGAAGACCACCCACGTCATTCGCAAAGACCACTCACGTCATTCGCGAAGACCACCCACGTCATTCGCGAAGACCACCCCGTCATTCGCGAAGACCACCCACGTCATTCGCGGAGACTATCCACGTCATTCCCAAAGACCACCCACGTCATTTGCGTAGATCACCCACGTCATTCGCGAAGACCACCCCCGTCATTCGCGAAGACTACCTACGTCATTCTCGAAGACCATCCACGTCATTCGCGAAGACCACCCACATCATTCGCCAAGACCACCCACGTCATTCGCGAAGACCACCCACGTCATTCGCAAAGACCACCCCGTCATTCACGAAGACCATCCCCGTCATTCGCGAAGACCATCCACGTCATTCGCGAAGACCACCCACGTCATTCGCGAAGACCACTCACGTAATTCGCGAAGACCTCCCACGTCATTCGCGAAGACCACCCACGTCATTCGCGAAGACCACCCCGTCATTCGCGAAGACCACCCACGTCATTCGTGGAGACCATCCACGTCATTCCCAAAGACCACCCACGTCATTTGCGTAGATCACCCACGTCATTCGCGAAGACCACCCCGTCATTTGCGAAGACTACCTACGTCATTCTCGAAGACCATCCACGTCATTCGCGAAGACCATCCACGTCATTCCCGAAGACCACCCACGTCATTCGCGTAGATCACCCACGTCATTCCCGAAGACCACCCCCGTCATTCGCGAAGACTATCCACGTCATTTTCGAAGACCATCCACGTTATTCGCGAAGACCACCCACGTCATTCGCGAAGACCACCCCGTCATTCGATAAGACCACCTACGTCATTCGCGAAGATCACCCACGTCATTCGCGAAGACCACCCACGTCATTCGCGAAGACCACCCACGTCATTCGATAAGACCACCCATGTCATTCGCGAAGACCCCCACATCCTTCGCGACGTGGGAGGTGTAGAACTACAAGTTAATGTGATCACCATGAACAATACAAAAATCAGTTTGCTCAATGTTTAGTATTTGCATGACTTTTATTTTAGAATGATCTTACAATCCAACGAATAAATAATTGATCAATCAATTGATCGATTGATCGATCAAATGACCGACGGTCGGTGGCTCTTGCAGAATAATTCGGTGTACCTTAACACTGTAAACGTGACTTTTCCTAAACTTGTATATATAATAATAATACAATAACCGTCGTTTTAGTTTAAAATAATAAACTTGCTAAAACAATATCAGAAAGAGCACATATGTCCGCAACGTAATTTAAAGTGTGCTTCCGAGTTAGTCAAGGGGTTCTCTCATACTATGGATGCGGTGTAACCTGACAATGTTATTATGTGTGGTCGAGTTATTCAAACTTTCGTCACGTTCACGCTCGCCGTGAAACTTGCAGCATACTGAGCAATTAAATAATTACCACTGATGGTTTTTTGGTCTTGATAGCACGTACCATGCGCTAACCATTGTCCAAAACATGTAAGATTTTGTTTGGCGACAGCTGAATCTGTTATAGCACATATATGCGGATGTTTTGTTGTTATGCCGATTAATGTGTTTGATCACGATCGACAATTTTTATCACGATCGAATATTTCATAAAAACGCAATTAATTTG